CTTGGCCTGCTGTGTTCATCCAGCTCTACACCTTGTTATCTCAGATTTTCCAGCATCTGCAGTTCCTACTATCTCAAAAATACAAGTTGCTTATTTTTAATCATTCCGCAGTTGTGTATTATAAAACCCACAATGTAAAAATGAATAAGTGAAATGGGCAATAGGCAACTGTTCCCATAGACTTGAAATCTTCCAAATCTTAATGTTGTTTTTGAAAAAAGTATGCCTTATCAGCTTTAACTTGTTCTACTGTGGGTTTCCTTTGAATATCTGTAAATTTGAATATATTCAAAAGTATGAGAATGTTGGAATTGTGTTGCAATTTTGATATCTAGTAAATAAATCCACGCTGTCAATTCTAATGACTTGTATAATTTTGCAGCACATGTTATATGCTCTTTTTATAAAATCATCCTTGAAATTTACTTAAATAAATACTTGTTTTTACTCTCAGGAACAATAATTAAATTTTGTGTTACAACTCGATCTTTGTTTGCAATCTTGGTTTGAGATTACAGTACCTCAGATTCAATCTCTTAAATTCCTGAATCTTAGCTAGAGATCAAAATTGCCATTTTGTTGTCTGGGCACATCCTCCATTGGTGCTGGTAAATCTTTTTCTCCTTTACCAAACGGAATTGCTATTGCTCCTTACCATATGGAACAAGTTGTATCTTAAAAATATTCAAACAAGAGAGAATGTAACCATCTCACCACAACTTTCAATGGAATTACTATCGCTGAACCCTTTCTGTCAACAGCCCGGCATCATCTTGTTCAGAAACTTAACTGGACCATTTGCATCAATACTATGTTCTCAAGACCAGGCCAAATTCTGGGTAATCTGCAGAGGTAAACTTGCCTCTTGACTTCCGAGTGACTTTTAACCAGCCATAAATTAAAAGTCATGGTATAATGGAATATTCTTCAATTGCCCAGATAAGTAAAACTCCAACAACATTCAAGAACCTCAACACCACTCAGAAAAAGCAGCCCACTTGATTAGCAACCTATCCACCACCTTAAACATTCATTATTTCCACCATCAGTGGGCCATGGCAGCAAGGTGTACCATCTACAAAATGCACTGTAGCAACTTGCAAAAGATTCCATGACAGCACTCTATACATCTGTGATTTCCATGACCTAGCAGGATGAAGGAAGCAGAAATATGGGAAAGCTACAGCCCACATGTTCCTTTTCAAGTCGCACGCCAGCTAAACTTGGAAATATATTGCCACTCCTTCAAAGTCAAAGGTTAAAATCCTGGAATACCCTTCCTAACACCATTAGGGATGGACTTTAGAACAAAAGTGATGTAGTTCAAGAAAGTGGCTCACTATCACATTCTCGAGGACAATTATGGATGGATGACAAATGCTGGCCTAACTAACCATGTCAATATTTCATAATCAAATAAAAATTTTTATTGAATAACCACTTCATGGCTTTTGACTTATGAACTTCAATGTCTCCAAATTCAAGGTGATAAAAGGGTTCCCTTGGCCATTTTCTCCCCCTTTTTCTCATCTTGGCTTTGACACATTGCTCCATTGTTTCTTCAAACTGCCACCATTCCCACTTCAAAATTATGCTGTAACTTTGCTCCATCTCTTCCCACAATTCTCACCAAAACATCTTATCAGTAAAATCAACCATAGACTTACTGATACTCTTCCCTCACACTGTAAACTCACAATGTTTCACAGTTCTGGCCCTTCTTGCTGAAATAATGATTCTGTCATTTGCTGTCATCCGTTCCTCATTCTAAACCGTTGGCATTTGCTGCCCTTCTTTAAAGACTTTCCTTACAAAGCTGCAGTCCTAATTACCACCAGATCTCAGACTTTACCAAAATACTAGAATTCATTGTTGCTTCGTGAACACCTTTGTAACACATTCGGTTCTTGTACC